GCTTTTTCCCTTCGTTTAGAGCATCTGCTCGCAGTTCTGCGTTTATTCCCTTTGATAGGAGCTTATTAGTTCTAGATAACTTAAGTTGAATTAAGGACCGAACGTAGAGTTTTATCTACAGCCAACTGATTATACCTTACTTGAGAGACTGAATAGAATGCAAATGGTTGTAGATTCCGACTTTGTTGCTTGAATACTTCTTTTGAAATTTGCAACAGTTTATATATTCATTAGAACTAATTAATTGGTTCCCCGATCGACCACCTCTCTTTGAACAAGGTTTACTCGATTGGATCGTGGTTTCAGCTGCCGTTCTTCTGCATCTTACCCAGTTCCTAAGAGGAATCTTCAACTTAAACATGCTTGAAGTTGCCGAAGCGACTGATTTTTTCATCATAAGTACACATAAGAATTCTGCGAATCTGTCTTATAACGGTTTATCTCTCTGATAATGCCCCTACAGGCTATCTAGGCTCCTAATGTGCCATGCAGTATATTAAAATTCGGAAGATCGACAAATAACGAGAGTAAAGATATGATTTTTTCATTTTTGTCCTCCCTTTCTTGTGTTTCGTCCACGTCCATCGTGAGACTGGCACTGAGGCAAAGAGGCGAGCCTTCTAGGCAATAAGGAAGTGTAAAGCTGACTGATTATCATCTTCTCGTATCCATTTCAGCCTACATGAGGCTTTACTTGAATTTCTTATGCTCTCTGATTTAGTGTTTTCTAGGGGCCTAACACTGATTTGATTGGAATGAGCGCTTCAAGATGCGCTGTGTCCAGATCTACCATCCTGATGGCTAATAGTCATTCTCAGCGAAAGAACTGTTTGTAGGAATACTTCCTTCCGTATCCCCTGAATACTGTACGGTTCTGAGGAAATAAATCCCAATATACATTTATACGTATTTCATTTGATTCTCCCTGCTCTGCCTATGACACTTATGCATACACACACATGCACGCAGATACATAAATACGTGCGCACACACATACCTGCATACTACCTTTCTACATGCATACATACATGCATACATACATACATACATACATACATACATACATACATACATACATACATA